GCTAATCTTGAATATGGGTTTGGTTTCGCTTTAAAAAATTTTGTAAAAACCAAAAAAATGCAAAATACTGTTCTTAAAATTTAATGGTTTCTACGTGATACTACTATCGGGGCACTAGGGGCTTTCAATGAGCTTAACATTGCCCACCGAAATTTTCCTCTATTGATAGATCAAGGTTGGAACTACTTCTAAAATTCGTCTTATGCCATGGGAGATAATCGATTTTGAAAGCTGACATTTTCAGCCAAAGTCGCCAGTTTCGATGCAGTTTTTATTTGACCGAAAGCGAATTAGAAGCTCGCACATGCAGGTGTTGCAGTATGTGAGGTTCTCTATCTAATGATGTTTTCATAATGTTATGAAAAGATTTGGTTTGATACAGTATGGCTCCAACGTGGACAAAATATGAGTTTAGGACGTACGTCACTGTATGAGCACCAAACCATTACCAGAGATCGGGCTTTGTTTTAAATTGAAGAAGAATGTTGATCCTAATTATGTAAAAGATTTGAGCTCTTTATCTTGTATGATTGCCGAGATATGAGCAACACAAAGTTGTCAATATGAGAGACGTCGCATTTTTCAAAAGTAGGTCGACATTTTATACAGAACGCCATTCAGGGCGCTTCATGTTATATAGCCGAGCATGAAGAGTGATTAATCTATACATATGGTGTTGGATGGAATGATCAAACTACTTGTTATCATCCACGTCATGATCCGAAGAAACCTGCCAAGAAAAGTAACTGTCGGAGAGCCAGTTTGGCTTTAAGTTGTAACATGGAAGAGTTTCCTGTTGGCTAAAGGTGGAGAAAACAGACTTTTCAAGAAAAAGAAATAAGCTTTACTTATTTTCTCTTGTACTATATGTTCAACTCATCGGAAAAGTTCTAAACGTGCTCCTGATGATATATTAACTGAAGCATCAGCATTTTCAGTTGGCAGTATCCGGAGCAACTATGTACCGAATGGCGGACGTTCCTAAATGAATTGGATACTTAACGAGAGCGGAATTAGTCTAGTAAAATCACAAGCTAAAATACAGCCTGAAGCACAATCAGCTGGTAGCATTCAAAGAATGGTAGCCAAGTTACGTCAAGGTGTCCGTAATTTTGGAGGTAAACTACTATCCTTCTTAACAAAGAATATCGGTCAGTGACTTTTGAATAAGTCAATTACGGAAGATGAGAAAGATTTGCGGTTTTTTCTATCAAAGTAGTTTACTGACTAAGTAATACATCAGAGTAACTCAGTATGTTGTCTTCTTAGAAAAACTTGTAGATACGATAGTCCCAGGCCAAGGTATACAACTGTTAAAATTAGAAAAAATTAGATAATGGTAATGGCAAAAACGACAATTATCAAACTCACATTAGAATGAATAATGAAATGGTGTCTAATTTGAAAAAAGTTTATGATTTTTATATTAATAATAATATGCCATTTATTGAACAAGTTAGAATTATCGTTTTATTGCCACGTAACTGGGCCTATGATCAAGTAATGAATGTTTTTGGTTGTTCAAAGCATGCTGTAAAAGTAGCAAGAAAAATGCAGGATAATAATGATTATGTAGTAAATAATGAAAAAACAACTGTCATTCGACAAAGATTTGATCCTGAAAAAACAAAACAGTTTATAACTTGACTTTTGGAGAGTAATACGTTAGTTTCAGATTCAACCAATTGTTTTGCAGATATAGATAGAGACGTTTTTTGGCAACAATTCAGTATCTTTAGGCACATACGGTTTGACAACTTTAAGAATGGATAATGGAGAAAAATGCGTGATACCAAAACAAATACTCCAGTCTCAAAAAATTCATGTCATTTTGGAATATAAAAAGCGCTGTAAAGAGGATGATTTCGAACCATTTGGAATTAGAAAATTATACGACATCCTGAATAGCATTAAAACAATGGGTTGTGAAGAATAATAATTGGATTAAGGAAGAAATTCAAAAAAAAATGAAGAATATCCATTATAGTTAAATTCTTTTAAAACACTTGATCTTGAAACTGAAAACAAAATTCAAAAAGTTTATATTTATCTTTCTCAAAATTTTGACCTTATTCAAAATTATTTAAGTAATTTTACGTTTTCAAATGATACTAAACATTATGGAGAAAAACTTACAGGAAATGCTCACAGGCTGTTTTAAATGATAAGTTCTTGTTTTACAACCACCCTGTGATCTTTATTTTCCTCTAGCGTTTTCAATGGGATAACAGGGAGATGAGAAAATGTCTCTCCTTCGTTCGATTAGTTGCTCAAAGAATGCAGAAGAATCTGTAAACTATATTCAGTTTGTAGAGAAATATTTGCTCATTATTAATAATTGAATGTATTATCAGGCTAAGAATTCTTTCCCCTATAAGAGGCAATATGAAGTGAAAAAGAGAGTTTTAGAAAAGTGTAAAACGAAATTCTAGGCTCTGCTTGGGCTGCTTTCTCGCTATTAATCATTTATTCAACGTGCAGTTTTAATGGCGGTATAGTATTGGTAGTATAGTTTAAAATCCTGTAGATGAAAGTAGAAAACGTTTAGACGATATTTAAATTAGTATCTTTCCTCAGAATTGCATCGACTTTTATTATGGTTTTATCGGTTTTTAAGAAAATTTCCTCAGCTTCATGACAGAATGATTGTGTTTCGTGACAAATTCTCGATTTGTGCAATAGCTTGATCGATTTTATGATACTTTCATTCAATCATTTGCTTGCTGAATTTATTCGGTTTTTATGCAAAATGATTTTATGAAAATATTTTTCAATTATATAAACTATACTTAGTTGTATAAAAAACGTAAAAATGTCAAAGAATGTCAATATCACTCTCACCTTACCCTCAGAATAGATGTTAAGCGTATTATCATTTTCACAATCATCGTGTATATTTAAATATACAATCAATGTGTATATTTTTTGTTTTGAACAGGTTTTCTCGATCTGATAATCACGTTTATAGACAACATTAGTCATATCTTGAGGTTTTGTACTCGTCCTGATGTTTTCTGAGTGAATAGTGAATTTTTTAATATTAGGTCAGCCTAAAAACTCTAATTTTCGTAAAATTCGCTTTTCGTTAAATTTTTAAAAATTTTCTGTACAGTTCAATTATGGTTCTAACATTTTGATCATCAAACTCTCCTTTATTAACAGATAATAGGAGTTTTGCCACTGTCAAAGTCTGGGGGAAATTCCAATAACCGATTGCTTTTGATGGTGATGAATACCACATTTCTCCAATCTCACATTCACTTTTTCTATAAATGTTTCTGGATCGACGATACGAACGTCCATTTCATACAAGGACCAATTTAAACCAACACTAACCAGGTCAGGATTTTATACTGAATAGGGTAAAACCTTTTGAATCATGAAATGTTCGTGTACAAGCACATGCATTTTCAGCCATTTCCATGCCGATTATAATTGAACACGGATCAAAATCATGTTTTAAATAACAGTTGTCACATGCAAACTATGATGCCAAAAGATATTGGAAAGTTCTTTTCGTGGGATATTCTTAGAATGACTAGAGCTATAATTCCTGAAAGTTTGAGCTTGACCAGTGGAACTCTTGTATAAAGTGGGAGATTTCCGGTGGAACTACCCACTATTGACTATTCTAAGTGGTTTTTGTCTTTTGTCTCCGATGTTTTTTATTAGAAAAATTTAAATGTCAAATTAACATGGAAAACATTCATCATCTTTATTTAGCTAAGTGCTATGTCCAAAAAGTCTAATCTAGCCGAGTTTTTCCTGCAAAACATATTCTTTCTTAATTAGAACGTAATTACAATATAAAAGTTATAATTGTATCAACATGAATTACTGTGTTATAGATTCGTAATTAATGAAAGTCACCGCTCATAGAATATCCGCGAACAAGAAAATAATTGACGAAACATTCCGATGACGATGATTTATTAGATTCATAAAATTCAGGTGCGAAACGGTTTTACAAAAACAGGCATTTTATATGCAAGTTATAGTTATAGTTCTAATGCTCATTCTGATTTGAAATAACAAGACAATATACATTTTACAATTAAAAATTCTTTTGATGTCTTTCACAATAATAGTATAGTACATATATTGTTAACACAAACTTTATTTTTTGTTGTTGTCAATGGATGATAAAATAAATTATTATTCTGTAGGGTAGTGGGAGAAAAATGCATGAACAGTCAGTGCAATTGCTTATGATCTACTCGTTATATAATAAAAGTTTTGCGTCAGCATAATATCTCGTGGAGACATGACTCTGAAAAACGGAATAGGTTATGCTGGACAGCTCATACTGGTGGTGGAGTTACAGGCATTAAAAACAAGATTTTTAAAACTTCAACCCTCAACTCTTCATTAGAATAGAGTTGACTTTGATAACGAGAACTTTGTTTCCAGCCAGATAGAGCAGCCATCTAGTTTAGTTTAAACTCTATCGAAAAGAAACAGACTTTTAATGATAACATTTTTCCCATTAAATGTGATTTTGCTCGCATTTTTTTCTTCTGAAAACGTTGTGTTACGGAAAGAAAACAAACAAAATGAAACGTGTAAAAAAGTTGAGATAAAGTTAGAAAGAATGAACTTTAGCGGCCGTAAATCTTAACTAAGTCTCCTCTTCTCTCTTTATGAAATACAACGTTCTTTTCTTTCATGGCACTTTTAGCATGATTCTTCGGGACAAGCACCGTCATTCAAAACGCAGTTGGGCATATGAAGACGTTGTCTCGTTCTCTGAAGCTAGATCATTGTACCCTTTAATCAGTTCTAGTTACCAGGAACTGATGACCAGTTCTTTTAACCAGTTACTAGAAACAATGAGAACTCGAACTGTTCCACTCCTAATTTAAATAGAGCTGATTTTGCTGACAAGAACTTCCCTTTCTGACAGACAAAACATCCGCATAGTTTAGTTTAAACTCTATTGAACAGAAACAGAAACGTAACAAACTATCTGCTTGAATTTTTCTTCTTGAAGGAGAACCGCGCTTTTCCAACCTGCACAAGTTTTTTTCGAAATTTTTCAGACAGACCATCTCAAGTCTGAATATTCTGTTCCTTCAGTCCCGCAACGTTCTTGCTTTTTGTTTAATAGTTTTTTTCCTCAACAGATATTTCTAATAACAATCACTTCGGACTGGTCTAATCAATGGCGCGTCAACTAATGAACGAAAACGATCACCCACAGGCTCAATGGTACTGGAAATCGAATTCGAATCCCTGGTTGATTAATGAAAAGGAAGAATGGAGAAGATATTCGGATATTCAATCCGACATTTAGTCGATGCTGTGGCCGACATGACTCATCGCTTTGCTAACTAGTGTAAACAGTGGCGGTCATATAATTTCATTAACTCTCTATGAGCTCAGATTCTTGTTAATACAATCTGAAGATAAGTTCG